AGCCATGAATGCCATCTGAGAACCACTGCACCAACAAGCGCCCTGGAATCGCAGTCTACATGATGCCTCACCGTTGCCAACTGTTTTGAAAACTGCATTGCCTCACCAATAAAGATTCTAGCCAGGTCTCTCTGTCAGTCAGGAAGGAATGCAGCAAGTGACTCCATCTTCTGCCATAGGAAATACTGATAACGGGCCATAGTGGCCTTGTCATTGGAGATTCTGAGTCCAAGTCCCATGGCTGAGTAAATTCGGCAAGACATCATATTGATATTATGTCCTTCAGTATCAACCGGTGCAGTGTGCTCTGTTTTGCTGACCTTGCATAAACTCAATGACCACTGAGTTTGGATGCGGGTGTTGCGGAAAAAATGGAATGTCCTGTTCCCTGACTTTATAAATAGACCCTAGGTGCCAGGAAGTTGGATGTGGGTGATTGAGTAGTTCCTATGGTTCCATCATGTTCTGACGCAGAGTGGGGATCAACAGCAGGGCCACTGGAACTGAGTCCTCCATCCTGGTAACATCATAGATGTTACCCTGTTCTGTATCCATATGCTGTTGGATGTCGATCCCTAAGGAGGTTGACATACAGACCAGTAGATCTGAGAAGCGTTCTATCCAGGCAATCCCAGGCCTTGAGTCAAAACCATAAGGTCGGGAGAGGTATATAGAAACATAGTAACAGAGTGAGTCAGAAGGGGTCTCCCGGGCCATCTAGTCTGACCTCTGGCACCAGCCGGCTCTGCTCACGACGTGCCCACCATGTGGATGTCCAGCCTATCCTTGAATACCAGCACCAATGGGGCCTCAACGACCTCTCGTGAAAGCTCATTCCACACCCTCGGGGTCCTAACTGTCAGGAAGTGCTTCCTGGCATCCAAATGGAACCTTGGCTCCCTGAGCTTTGCTCCATTGGAGCACGTCCTGCCTTCCTCTGCAGGGGAGAACAGGTCTCTACCCATCTCCATGTGACATCCCCTCACATACCTGTATGTTGCCAACATCCCCTCTGAGTCTCCTCTTCTCCAGGCTGAAGAGACCCAGTTCCCTCAGTCTCGCCTGATACGGCATCCCCTGCAAACCAGCTACCAACCTTGTGGCCCTACATTGCACTGACTCTAACCTGGCTATATCCTTTCTGTAATGAGGGGCCCAAAACTGAGCACATACTCCAGTTGTGGGTGCACCAGAGTCGTGTAGAGTGGTAGTAATACCTCTCTTGATCTAGAAGCCACACTTCTGGCTATGCAACCAAGGGTGGCATTCGCCCTCTTGACCACCGCATCACACTGCTGACTCATGTTTAGCCTGCAGTCAACCAGCACCCCGAGGTCCCTTTCACAAGTGCTGCTCTCCAGCCACTTGTCCCCTAACCTGTACTTATGACACCTATTCCTATGCCCCAAGTGCAAGACCTTGCACTTATCCACATTGAACGCCATCCTGTTGTCTCCTGCCAACTTCCATAGTCTGTCCAGATCCTTTTGGATCTGGAGTACCTGCTCCTCAGTTGTGGCCACTGCTTCAGTTTTAGTGTCGTCTGCGAATTTGATCAGCAGACTGTTCACCCCTTCTTCCATGTCGTTAATGAAGAGATTAAACAGGATAGGTCCCAGGACAAAGCCCTGGGGGACCCCGCTTGTCACTGGCCTCCATCCTGATCATTCCCCACTAATGGTTACCCTTTGCTTTCAGTCAGTCAACCATGCCCTAATCCACTGGACAGTGCTTTGGTGTATCCCAAAAGTCCTCAGTTGCTCCACCAGGATATCATGGGGCACTTTGTCAAAGGCCTTGCGGAAATCCAGGTGCACCACATCCACTGCATCCTCTCCATCTAGCCATCTTGAAACCTTGTCATAGAATTCCACAAGGTTTGTCTGGCAGGACCTGTTTTTGTGGAAGCCGTGTTGTGTGGCTGCCAGCCTCCCTTCCCTATCTAGCATCACTAGATCTCTCTCTATTATGAGCCTTCCATTGTTTTTCCTACAATGGACGTAAGGCTAACCAGTCTAGAATTCCCCATGTCCCTTCTACTACCCTTTTTGAAAATTGTTCTGCTTGTATATGCTTGTTCTATGTCTTCTGAATCAGAAAGGTAAGCCGTACTTGAGGATGAAGAACGTGCCGGTGATCCTTCCTCCATTGGTTAAGCTGTAGCAGTTGTTTCTTCCTGAGATGTAGAAGGTATGTCTGCAGTTTGTTGTGGTCTCCAACATGGAGGAGGTGGTGGGTAAGGGTATCAGTAGGGTGGGAGGCATTTCTATGGATATCCATGTCCATAGCCTGTGTATGGAGGAGGCATCCAGTACTGGCTCCTTCCATATTAAAGGAACTCAGGTTCATATGGAGGAGATGGTCTTCAGATTGAGCCCAGAGAGGTTTGTGGCAATGGATGCCCATACAGAGTCGGAGTGGGAGGATGTATCAGCTCTGATCAGTCAGATGGTACCGGAGAGTGTATGGGAGACTCATGAATCTATCCCTCCGAGATGGAAGTTCAACCATCGGTTGCGGTGCTTGGGTCTCAGCTGAGCTGAAGTGAGGTTGTGAAGGGGGTCTTGGCGACAGGCTTGGCATGTGGCAAGGAGATGGTCTTGGTGTCGTCCACACCAAAGAGGACAGAATGAAGGCTCACTCGGTACTGACATGCCCTGTTCCATTTCAGATTGGTATGAAACTTCCTTCTGTGCCAAACGAGAAGCCATTTCTTTTTCTTGTTCAGCTTCTCCTTTATGGGATGCTTTTCTTTAGCAATCCCTTCAGTTTCAAGGTCCTTACCTTTTTCTTTGTGCCTTATAGGAGATTGAGACCATCCTAAACATTTTTAGTGCTCTCACCATGTTCAGCAAGTGGAGTGCTTCCTTTGGCTGCTGAAGGGTTGGCAGACTGGACCATTGGAAGCCTCTCTCATCGGGATCTAGGCTCTATCCCAGAGCTCTTTCTTGAGGTGGTTTTCATGGTTCTTGCAAGGCTGTTTGGTAAAGGCTAGACAATGGATGCATTTGTCCACATGATGTCCTTCACTCAGACAGAGCAGCAGAACGAATACGTGCTCATAGATGGCATTTTTGCTCTGCATTGGGCACACCTTCTAAAAGCAGAACGCTGTGCCATCAAGGGAGAATAAGTATAGGGCAGTGCTGGTGAACCTATGGCACACATGCCACAGTGGGCACGCAGAACCCTCTCTGTTGGCACGCGAGCCAAGTTGCCCCAGCATCGCCCCAGCAGCCATGCACATATTCGGAAAGAGTCATGGCACCAGGCATAGATGTCACTCATTAGCTACGACTCGCTGCAAGAGGCAGCATCAAACAGGTGGCCAGAGGCAGGTGCAATAGCCACAGCAGGTGTGCCAGGAAGGAAGTGGGCGAGCAGCGAGCGGGCATGCCGAGCGCTGGCAGCGGTGCCCTGCTCTTGCCTCTTTCTCTTCCTCCCGGCCCGCAGCATGCGAGTGGCTGCCCAAGCCACCCTCCTAGTGCAGTGGTGGGACCCTGCCAACTCGGAGCCGCAGGCGCACACAGGCAGCCATGCACCCGCCTGCCTGCACGCCCGCTCCTGGGCCAGGCTCCCGCACCAGTGGCCGCAGGGGCGCGGGGCAAGCTGGGCGAAGGGAGTGAGCAATGGGGCCGAGGCGGTGGAGCAGCAGCAGCTGGAGCGAGGAGGAGGAGAGAGAGGGTGCCTGGGATCGATATGGCACTTCCTGGGGAGGGAGGCCAAAACAAGGAAACGTGGAGGCTGGAACTGCTGCGAAGCGAGAGGAGTGGGCTCGTGGCAGGGACCCCTCCGCCCCGCTTGTCAAGGTTTGGCAGCGCCATGGGGGCACCTTGAGGAAGATCCCAACGGAAACATGGAAGGGATCAGCGATAGCCTCACCTCACCTTTAGTTTAGGTCTCTCCCCTCCCCATTCCGCCCCTCCAGTAAACTTTCAAGTGCTGCCGAAGCTCCTGCGGCATTCCTGGTGGCTGGTTTGGGAGGGAGGGAGGGAGGGAGGGAGCGCGCCCAGGCGCAAGCAAGCCCGGCGTTCCTTGACTTGGGGTTGCTGAACGTGAACATGGCTCCTTCTCTCTGTTACTGTTTTTCTTTTAAGACAAAAGATGTTAATGTATGAGTTGTTTTTTCTAAACTAAAACCTCAGTATTCAGGTTTTATTGCAGTGTTGGCACTTTGTGATAAATCAGTGGGTTCTGGGCTGCAGTTTGGGCACTCGGGTCTCTAAAAGGTTTGCCTTCACTGGTATAGGGTAGAAAGATGACAGACAGGATTTTAAAAATATTTTTTGTGGGGTGGAATATGTAAAGGGTGGGGGAGAAGAGTTTGTGAGGGAAGGATTGAAGCTGTGGAAGGGAGGATTTAAAGGAAAGTTTAAAGTTTTAAAAATTAGGTAAGCAAAGAAGTTTGTGAGAAAAATCAGAAATAATGAAAGAACCCGAGGCACAGTGAAGGTGGCCAAAAGTGGACTGGTGATGGAGTGGGGACTCTACCCATTTATACAAGGGGGTGGGACAGCGGCGTTCCTGCCACAAATGTTACTAGCTGAGAGAATCTTCCCGTGATGCACAGAGACCACAGCGAAGAAGAGGAGGAAACACGACATTTTTGCAGGAAGTAGCAACCTGACAGGATTGTGGGACTCACCACCTAAAACCTTGAATCTCAAGAAGGGCTAGGTGAAGGCATCCTTTTTTCCTGCTCAGAATTTTGTACACGCAGGCCTTCAAAACAGTTTTCAAAACTTTCACTTCAACAAAAAGAGATCATCTTTGAAATAGCTGATTTTTCAGAGTTGAAATAACATGACCAGAACAATGTGGTTATAAAAGTCCACATTTTAAGAGAATCCTGGGTACAAAGCAGTCATCACAAACTTTGACCAATTGTAATACCAGAGGACAGGATTCCCTCCCACCCTCCCACCCTCTCCCTTTTTTAAACGTTAGGGAATGGGGGGAATACAGCACACTAATGAAACAATGCCAAAAAATACAAAAAATAGAAAATAGAAAAAATGTATTTACAAGTCATACATTACTATGATCAGAACACACAAAGACAACGGTTGCTATAATACATGCACTGGGCCAGGAAGGGAGCTACTAAAAACCTGTAATGGATAAGTTGTAAAAAACAAAAACAAACCAAAGCAACCCACAGACAAAAAGAGGGCAAGAGGAAAAGGGCTTCAGCTCCCCCCGCCCTCCGGGTTTGCTACATTGATTGAAAATCAAATAATCCCCTAAAATCCAGGAGTACACTCAGTACAAAATACTACACTTTTAAAAACTGAAGTTTCACTCATGGAGCTGGGCTGGGGGGGGGGAGGGGGGAGACAGCAGCATCCTTGCAGGTCCGTATACAAGAAAGCCAGAGTAAACTGCTCTACATGCTAGAAATTACAGCAAGCCCCTGTCAACTATAAAGCATGATCTTAGCAGGTTTTCTTTTGCATATGCATTATATGCGTGCGCGTGTGTGTGTGTGTGTGTGTGCATGTGTGTGTGGTCTATGCATGTGTGTACAAAAGACGTGCCCTTTTTCACTGCAACATGACATCTGGGTGAAAATGGAACTAGTTACAACAAAGTCTTTATATTGTGTACTGCAAGAAGTCACTCAATGTCTGTGGATTTAATAAGTCACCTCACACCACAGAAAATATTTAATAAATTCAAAAGGAAAAAAGATTATAGCGACAGAAGTTCTGTCTCTGTTCTTTCTGAAACAGAAGTCCAAAGAAAAACTGGTTCCAAAGTACTTGAGAGTTTTTCCAAGAAACTCCGAGTGCAGTGGCCATTTTTTCTTTTAGTTTTCACAAGTTCCTCAGTGACCGTGTGCCACTTTCACCAGAGAGTTTGTTTCCTCCTCCCTGAAGAAACACCCAGTGGTCTGGCACTAATCCGTAAACAGATGGAGAGGAGGAAGCTGACTGCCATTGCAAACCGCTCCAAGTTCCAAGTGGAGAGGGAAGTGGGGAAGCCTCACACACCTTGCTCCTCTCTCCTTTGATGCAGCTAGTCCGTTGGCGCAAGTTCTGCAAACAGGCCATTCTCCCAAGTGCCAGCCCAGCCACAAGGACAGGCAACCAAGCTGTGAGCCAAAAAAGGACCAGGTAGGGGTTCCGGTCACTTTCCATCCGTTCCATCATACCTCTAAGAAACGTGAGCTGCTGGACTTGGAGTGGAATGGTTCAGACCACATGCGACGCAGGTCACCCTAAGGAAAGGGGCAAAGGTGGGAGGGAAGGAGCGAGGGAAAGGGTGTGCACATGAAGGAGCAAGATAAAAAACTCCAAGTCAAACCTGCTTCGCTACTATGATCATATCTTCACAAAGTCCAAGCTGGTTTTATGACACGGGCTTCATGTCCATGGCTACCTTCCTTCTGCCCACCCCTTCAAGTCAGCTCTGTCCTTCCTTCCTCACTTTGACGCTCATTCCCACGTCTGGATTAGCACCAGCAACATAAATCCCAACTATTCTATATCCAAGTCTCTCAGAATGAACTGGGAAAAAAAAAGAAGCAACAGCTCTGCCACCTGAAGCTAAATGTGGCCGAGGGCTGGAAGAGATGCTTGAGGGCAGCTTGGGATGCATTCCAAAAGCCACATGGATGTCACTCCAAGAACTGTGGATAATTCTTACAAAGGGTATCAGCACAGCTTTGCTAAGTCCACAACTGTCAACCAAATAACTTTTCCCCAGCCACCCTCACTCCGTAACACGTCTTTACCGAGTTCTCCAATTACTTCTGTCTATTCTTGTCTCAGTTTGTTAAGCTTTCTGGGTGAGCAACAAGCTCATTTGTGCATTCCAGTCTCTCTGCCAGCATAAAAGCAGTCCAGACAGTTCTCTCCATCAGAACATTTATGGAAAAGTATTATTCTATATAAAAAATAAAAAAATAATAATTTGCCTTTCAAGATGAATGCCAGAATCTCCCATTTTCCCATGCCAAATCAAAATGCCAACTACTGTCATAACAACTGGAAATAATTCTTTGCCACATGCTGGGCAAAAATCCTCAAATCACATTCTCTCTCAATCAAAATTAAGAACCCCCAACTAGTCCAAGTATACTGCACATGTGCAGAGAGCTCTTAGGGGGCTCTCTCCAAGCCAGAAAAGTGCCCTGGAATGCTCCCTGAGCTTCTCCTCCAGCCACTGACTTGGCCAGACAGGGACACGTACCAACAGGGCCACAGCTGGGGTCCTTCCTGGAATTTACGGTGCGCTGGCATGCTGCACAGCTGATCTTAATCCCAAGGGAGAAGTGACAAGGTGACAGCTGGCCCTGGTCAGGTGTGGGTCCACCTACCATGAGCATGCACCTCCTCTCCACACACGGCACTGCTAAAATTTATTTATTTAGTCAAAACATTTCTATGCCGCCCCCATCGCAACAAAGCCTCGGGGAGGCTCACAAAGTGAGAAATGGGAATTTCTCAGTGGCAGGTGGCAGGAACCTGAGTCGATTTCTGCAGGGTGATTTGTTTGAGGGTAACAAGCTAGCACGACAACCCATGGGTTGCTGTACCCTTTCACTGAAACCCAGATGACTGGGTCCCTCAGGGAAATTGGCTGCCAATCGTGTCTAAGCACCCGCCAGTGACAGCGTGCCTAGACAGGTGCTCCCCTTGGGAGCAGCAGTCAACAGCTTAGGGCCAGCTCCACTGTGACTGCAAGCCGCCCTCAGCTCATCAGATCCTCTTTGCCCTTCTTGCTTCCCCCCTGCTGCTCTGAGGCCATGGCCTTTGTTTGAGGGCTGGATTTTGCAATCTTTGTCCTGACAGCCATCAACAGCCCCCCTCAGGTGTCAAGCAGTTTCTTGGAAGAGCTGCCCATGTTTGCAAATGGAGGAATTCCCCCCACATACATGCAAATGTTTCTACACATTTTAAGTATTATTTTCAGTCCTCTGAAGTATGCAGCTAGGCACTTACAGAAGACTGAAAATAGGTATTCTCACCTGGGCAATGTCCAGAGAAGCTCTTACTGGCAATACGCAACAAGCACCAATCCTGGAGATTGACCAGGAGAGGACTCCAATGGCCCCTCACCCCACTTTGGCCTGGTTTGAGAGCTGTGAAAAAATGTCAGGTCAGACCAAAGCCATGAGTGATCCATGCTCATGAATGGGGCTTGGTGGGATTTATATCCCTTTTGCATGAAGATCTTCTTTTAGGGGGTGGGGGTGAGAATGCCATTGTCTTAAAGATGCTCTCACTTTCCCCAATGACTGTACATGCTTATATGCTATGCTAGGTTAGGCTAGGCTATGCTAGTTGCGAAGTCACATCCGACCCATCACGACCCCATGGACAACATTCCTCCAGGCTCTCCTGTCAGGGGTTCTCTCACGCCTGCTGGCCTCCATTTTTGAGGCCTCGTGGAGAACGGGTGAAGTTCCAGAGGACTGGAGGGTGGCGTCAGTGGTTCCAATGTTCAAAAAGGGTAGTAGAAGGGACATGGGGAATTACAGACCTGTTAGCCTTACGTCCTGTGTAGGAAAAACAATGGAAAGGCTCATAATAGAGAGAGATCTAGTGATGCTAGATAGGGAAGGGAGGCTGGCAGCCACACAACACGGCTTCCGTAAAAACAGGTCCTGCCAGACAAACCTTGTGGAATTCTATGACAAGTTTCAAGATAGTTGGATGGAGGGATGCAGTGGATGTGGTTTACCTGGATTCAGCAAGGCCTTTGACAAAGTGCCCCATGATATCCTGGTGGAGAAACTGAGGACTTTTGGGATACACCAAAGCACTGACCGGTGCATTAGGGCATGGTTGACTGACAAAAAGCGTAAGGTAACCATTAGTGGGGAATCATCGGGATGGCGGCCAGTGACAAGCAGGGTTCCCCAGGGCTCTGTCCTGGGGCCGATCCTGTTTAATCTTTTCATAAATGACATGGAAGAAGGGGTGAACAGTCTGCTGGTCAAATTCACAGATGATACTAAAACTGGAGCAGTGGCCACAACTGAGGAGCAGGTACTCCAGATCCAAAAGGATCGGGACAGACTATGGAAGTGGGCAGGAGACAACAGGATGGCGTTCAATGTGAATAAGTGCAAGGTCTTGCACTTGGGGCATAGGAATAGCTGTCATAAGCACAAGTTAGGGGAAAAATGGCTGGAGAGCAGTACTTGTGAAAGGGACCTCGGGGTGCAGGTTGACTGCAGGCTAAATATGAGTCAGCTGTGTGATGCGGTGGTCAAGAGGGCAAACTCCACCCTTGGTTGCATAGCCAGAAGTGTGGCTTCTAGATCGAGAGAGGTATTACTACCACTCTACATGACTCTGGTGCACCCGCAACTGGAGAATTGTGCTCAGTTTTGGGCCCCTCATTACAGAAAGGATATAGCCAGACTAGAGTCAGTGCAGCGTAGGGCCACAAGGTTGGTGGCCGATTTGCAGGGGATGGGGTATGAGGCGAGACTGAGGGAACTGGGTCTCTTCAGCCTGGAGAAGAGGAGACTCAGAGGGGATGTTGGCGACATACAGGTATGTGAGGCGGTGTCAGAGGAGGTGGGGAGAGAGTTGTTCACCCCTGCAGGGGACGGCAGGACGCGCTCCAATGGAGCAAAGCTCAGGGAACCAAGGTTCCATTTGGATGCCAGGAAGCACTTCCTGACAGTTAGGGCCCCAAGGGTGTGGAATGGGCTTCCACGGGAGGTAGTTGAGGCTCCATCGGTGAGGGTGTTCAAAGATAGGCTGGACATGCACATGGTGGGCATGTTGTGAGTGGAGCCAGCTAGAGCTGGGGATCAGACTAGATGGCCAGGGATGCCCCTTCTGACTCACTCTGTTTCTATGTTTCTATCCTCCACCATCCCCCGGAGTCAAGCTAAGCTCACACCGACTGCTGGAAAAGCATAAGCCACCCCTTTCTTTAACAGGAGTTGTCAGCTAACTCTCAGAACTCTGGTTACTTTTAGAAGTTCTTATTTTGACAGTTTCCCTCAGCCTGCATTTTGGCAGAAGGTATCTCCCAGATAAAGCTACCATTTTCAAATCTCCAACAGTGCATGATCTTGTGAAAGACCAGAAATATTAATAAAAAATCTGCAAATGCATTTATTCACATGGAGAGTGAGTGCAAAATTATACTGTTGTAAACTGTCCTGGAATGATTTTCTGCAGGATGGGATATGAATACCTTAAATAAATGTGTTGCCCTTGGAGACTGCACTTCATAATCCAAATTACGTGCCATGCAAACGATGCTTGGAGTGTTCATTTGTACCCCAAGGCGAATTCATGCCCCATTGGGTCTGGCCCCAGGTGGGTGTGTCAGCAGCTGCTCACCAACTTAATTCCCACCAATCTTACCTTTAAATAGGCCATAGTGAGGAGTGGCAATAAGGTGAATGGCACCAGGTAGAGCAGTGCAGGTTGGGCTGCCCGGTGAATGCGCGACGCAACCGTTGCTGTTAGGAGCCCTGCAAGATAACAGCAGGCAACACAGTGTGAGCACCTGCCCAGCAGGCCATGTTACTCCTCAGACAAAAGGAACTGAAGACATCAGCACCTGAGCAGGGCGTAAAAGCACCTGGGCGCTCTGGCCAAGTCTGCTGATGGTCCACTTTTCATTCCCTCTTAACGGGCACGCTGAGAGATGCAGCACACACTGACATTACCTGAACTGTGACTTTTAGCCACTTCTGTGCTTTTCCTTTCCCCTTACCTACAAAGTATCCAATGAGTGTGCAGTGAAAGTAGGAGACTTTTTGCATGCGGCCAGAGATGTTCCCTGGCCCTGCGGCACCACAGGAATCACTGTTGGCTTGTTTCTTGTAGTTGTCGTAACGCAGGACAAAGCAGAGCAAGAGGCCTGGCATCACAATGTCTCCAATTCCCAGCATGGAGAAGTGGCTGCCTGTGGAACTGAAAAACAAGGAGCCCCATTGATAATGGATCTTGCATCCACTGCAGCAACCCATTCAGTGGAGACTGCTGGCCTGGCTACTTGATGGAGGAGAAACAAGCTTCCAAGCTGGCAAGAGGGGTAACCCCTTCATGGTGCCCCAAAGAGTCTCAGCCTCTGTTTTCAACAGCAACAACATTTCTCAAGGGGAGCAATAAAGATGCCTCCAGTGAAGGATATGGGGCAAAAAAACCTAATCCTACCTTGGAAATACAAGTTTTCCAGGAAGTGATAAGCGGGGGACGTCACGACCTACGTTTGGTCCGAGGTGAAGCTTCCGGGATAAAACGTCCAGAGGATTATCAGCAGGTTGTGTGGCCACTTTCACCATAACATTGCTATTGAATATATAGGCAGAAAAGAAGACCTGCAAGAGAAGCAAGTGGGAAGGGCGCTTCAAGAGCTATTATGTTTTCTTGTCATCCAGCCTGGGGGTCTATGGCAAGTACATGCTGAAACACAGGAGTCATGAAGGCCAAACAGGCAAGTAGCTGACAGCCAGGGCCTCTCTGCTGGTTCTCCAGTTGCTCCCATTTTGTCAGGCTGTGGCTACTGCAAGCCTGAGAAAGCAGGAGTAACTTGAGCCCCAGACAAGAGTTTTTTTCTGACACTAATGGCTCTAGAAGTTTCAACAGTTTTCTCCACCAAAAGTTTGGAGAAGCAGGAGCAGTCATGACCATCTGCCAGTGTGGTCTTCAAGACATAAATAAGGCTAGCAATCAAACAATGGGAACTTTAGAATGAGAATGGATGTAAATGCTTTGATTGTTCCCCATTTGCTATGGAAACCACTTCAAGAACTTTTTGGTAGTACATAAACAGGCTCAACAAACACACACATCCCTCCAGATGCCTGTAAGGCCCCTGCATCAGGCCAAGGTACTCCAAGGTGCCTATTCTCCACCCATATAAAGAGCCTGGGATTTTCACAAGCCTGTTTCCCAAGCTGAACTTGAGCAGGTCATGGGGAATGATACCAAAAAGGAAAAAAAAGTGATGCACGTTTATTTCATATGAGGAAGAACCCTTTTATAAGGCATACCATGGGTTGAGTGATCACCCAGGTGACTGTATTTCACGATGCCAGAAAGTAATGAATATGGTAGCTCCATCTGCAAGGTCAGAAGAAATCTTTGCACCTGGTAATAAGAGTATTAAAGAAAGCAGAAACTCACCCAGAAGACATCATAAATTAAGAGCCCCGAGAGGAGCAGGCAAGAAACCTTGAGGCTTGGTAACCGGACAAAGGCGATCATTGCAACGCACAGGCCCATTGCCAGGGCTACAAAACAGAAAGGAAACAAACAATTGGACTGCTGTGCAAAGCTGCAAATGCTGGTCATCAAACCTATCTCTGGGCTATAGTGAACTGCTCAGAGTTTTGGTATAGAAAAACTGGATGGTAAAAAGTACCACTACTAACAATAATACTAAATGCAGACACATAACTACTGTACCCAAGACACCCCAGAGTGGCAATACTTCCTGGTATTAAAGCTCCAAGTTTATAATCGGAGAAAGTTGCCAGTGACCTGGTTTGCACAATCAAAGTGAGCCACTGTGCTTTAATTAAACCATGGTCTATGGTTTGTTGTAGGGTTGCTGGAAGGTTGTTTGCCTCTCCTACAAGCCATGCTGCCCAGGCTCAGATGACATGCCAAGCTGTGTCCAGTGGTGATCACTGCAACCAGTGCCTCTTGTCTGCTATGATTTAATTACTATTTGTTTCTTAGACTTTAAACTCACACAGACTCTAAACCTATATATTATCCACACAGCTCCTGCTTACTTAAATAAACTCCTGTGGCTTAAATAATCACACATTTAAAGAAACAATGGGAGATTATTTCATCTACATTTTCAAACAGGGTCCTCCTGCTTATGGGCCAAGCACTTGGAGTACCAGGGGTGCCTCAACTGGTCTGCTTCTTAACCTGATGTTGTATCTTTGGGCTAATGACATTAGGTCCGCCCCCTTCCCAATTAGCATGCTCACTAAATTTGCCATAGCACTGGAAACTGCAGTGGCTCTCAGAAAAGATTAGTTAATCTCTGGACCTGGCCCCACCTCTTCCTCAGACTAAGAATCTGTATCCACAGCCCCCGAAGCCCCCAAAGGAGAAGCAGACCCCCCTCTGCTGTTCCCTTGTCACATCAGCAGCCTCCCCCCCCCCATTGGTCCCCTGAGGGCATGTCTTGCCTCTGCTCCAGCTATTCCTGCCCCCCTTTGATTTGCAGATGTCACACAGGAAGCAGTGAGCAACAATGGCAGCAGTGAAACAGCATCCTCTGCATCCAGAAGTACATAAAGGGTACATCACCATGAAAAGCACACTCTGCAAGGATTCTAGTATGGCTGAGAGAGTAGTTGAAGTTTTCCTATTTGATTGTTTCTGAAACTCAGGGCAGCTCAAGCCACTGTTGAAATGGAAAGCTCTGACTGCAGGTAACATGGGGCTTGCTTATCTGCCAACAACAAATCCCAGAAACTCCCTGAAACACCAGCATGAACACCAGCATAAATCTGCCATTAGTCCCTGAGTGTCTGGAACGCCATGTTTTAAAAAGCTTTAAAAAGTCACAGAACTCTTCACCCCTCCCAAGTAGGGCTAGAATGCAGGCATGCAAAGGATTCAGGGCTTCCCCTGCCAGGTGAAAACCCAGCTCGGAGTACCCTTTCACACGTTGCCTGAATTAGAAGCATAGAACATAAGTTTATATTCTAACTCATTCTGCACAAATCCAGGATTACTAGGATTTTGTTCAGAAGCACACACCAAGGGTTCCAAACATAAATCAAACATCACCGTACCTCTCTCATGAAGAAACTCAGGCAAGACTTCATTGGTCCTAACTCTGGCTCTAGGAGTTTCATACAAACATTTGACCTATTTCTGAATTTCTGAAGAAAAACCAACATTTCTCAATGTAGCAGAGATAAGTTTCCAGTAAATTTTATTGAAGGCCTTCTCCACATTTGGAGACAATAGCAGCTGTGTCAGCTCTATACTCCTTTAATGCAGTCAGATCAGCAACCATTCTAAGATTATCAGCTCCTTGTCAATTTGTAATGAAACTGTTTGGAGAACACAGAGAACAGAGAACTGCAAGTTTTCTTCCACGATCTGGCAGCAGAGGAAACGTCTACAAGCATGGTTGATGGTAATGAGGAAGTGGTGTCTTTGAGGTCAATGGAAGCAAACCAGTCTCCCTGCCAGAGTAAGGGAGAATGTTGTGCAGGAAGGTCATTCTGAATTTCCTGAGTGTAATGAACTTGCTGATGCCTCTGAGGTCAAGGATCGGTTTGAGTCGCCCATCCCATTTCCAAACTGTGAAATAGCAGGCACAGAACCCCCATCATGGTCGTGTTGCTCTCTATGGCTCCTTCCTCTTTTTCCAACAGCAATGTTGGGGAAGGAGGGAGGGTCCTGACAAAACCAAAGGGTGAAAGGGTATCAAATGTGATCCTGCAGCCCTGCTCCACGGTGGACAAAACCCAGGAGTCTGATGTAATCTCTTCCCATATAGGGAGGAATCAGGTACCTGTCAAAATTGGCCTGGGGGGGGGGAATGGGGGCCACCGGGGGAAACATCAACACTGCTACCTGGTGACTTCTTGGTTGTGGGAGGAATGCCCCTGTGAAGAGGATGGACTGGGTAGAAGAAAGAGCAGACTTATTGTGATTAATAAAGAGACCCAGATCCTGCAGAAGTGTATTTGTGGGGTGTACCACTTGCAAGGGCTGCCAGGAGCCAGTCATCTAGGTATGGGAAGACCTGAATGCCTTGGAGCCTAAGGTGGGCACAGACCACCGCCATACACTTAGTAAAGACTTGGGGTGCAGTGGCAAGTCCAAAGGGGAGGACATTTGAAAACTGGAAGGTCTCCTGCCTAATCTGGAAGTGAAGGAAGTACTTTGGCCTGACTGACAGTGATACGAAAACAGGCATCTTTGACGCTGATGAAAGCAAAACAGTCCCTCTGCCTAAGCAGGGGGGGAGAGGGTGCCCGGCAGAGTGGTCATCCTGAACCTCTTAGGAAAAATGAAATAGTTGATGTCTCCGAGGTCAAGGATCAGTTTGCACCCCCATCCCATTTAGGTAAAGTACTGAGAGTAGGGACCCCAGTGCAGGTCCATGAAGACTTGTTCTACTGCTTCCCTGGATAGCAGTGCTGGTGAGGACAAAGTGGTTTTAATGTGGAGTAGGGATGGGAGGGCATCAAACTTGAACCTGTACCCTCAGTGCACTATAAATAGGACCCAGGAGTCAGATACCGTTGTCTCCCATGCTGGGAGGAATTGTACTATCTGGTCAGTGACGTTATTAGGCGGTGGTGGGGTTAGTGAGGCGGCTGCATATCAGTGCCTGCACCTGGTGTCTTGGCATTTTGGTGGGAGCCTTTGGTGGGGCTGGGAATGGATGGCTCCTCTTGAGTAGAGGCGCCATCCATGACCTAAACAGGAAGTCAGGGAAGGGAAGGAGCGATGGCTGGTGCCCAGAGAGGGTACTTGCCACTTATGCTGCTGCAGTTGGTGAACAAACCCATATGTCTGGCGGTGGTCCGGGTTTTGTGCAGGGAGTCCATATTTTCATCTGTATGTGTTGAAGAGGCCCTCTCCATTAAAGGGCATGTCCTCTGTGCGGGCTTATGTGTCCTGGGCATGGAGTTAGATCGCTCCAGCAAGGCGTGGCAGTGGATTGCTACTGCTCCCATCATCCCATCACAGTTGAAATGTGTTTAGCTGCTGAATAATGACGTTAGAGAATAGAGAATAAGCCAGCCACCTGGCCACAGTAGTGAGAAATTGCAGCGATGTAAACTTTAATGGACGAAGGTTTAAGTCCCGTCTGGTGTAAGGATAATAGAAATTGAAGAACATTCTCAATAGAAGCTGAATGGGCAATAAAATGGTTGGTTTCAGCAAAAGATGTAAAATGCTTCCATTTAGCCATGTACGAGCAATGAGTCATAGGTCTTAGAGCAGACTGGAAAATGAACTGAATATCAGGATGGAGAGCGCTCGAGTCCGATGGAGTAACCATTGGTATCGAGGAAGGGTGAACTGTTGTATCCGAACACTGCTGAGCCGGTGTCAAATCTGACATTACTGTTGGTACCAAGGAAGTAGTAGGACCTATCGAAAGAGCCAGGCTGCCAGATTGAGCGAATGAAGGTCCGGGTGCTGTACTGCCCCATTTTGCTGAGTCTATGAGGTATGCAAGGCAGTCGCTGAAAGGTGTTGTCTGACAGACAGAGAACAGTAGGAAACCATGGTTGGCGAGGCTACCAGGGAGTGATGAGAATTCCCCAAGCCTCATCGAAGGTAATCTTCGCAAGAGTTCTTGTAATGAGCGGTATCGGAGGGAACGCGTAAAAGAATGTGTTCGTCCATGGAATCGTCAGAGCGCCCCGTCTTGAGATGGGACCAATCCTGCTCAGGAACAGTAGGCTTTGCAGACAGCATTCATGTGCGCGGCAAATAGGTCTATGTCTAGAGGGCCCCGTGTCTGAAAAAGGTGATGACAGACTTGACAATCCAACTCCCATTCATGAGTCATCAACATTTGTCTGCTGGGGGCATCTGCCTCCTTGTTGTCGGTGCCAGTGAGGTGAACGGCAAGAAGGGTAATTTCTCTCGGGATGCACCAGTCCCAAAGTCCCAATGCTAGATGAGCGAGGGAGGCAGACTTCGTTCCGCCCTGTTTGTTGATACAGAACACAGCCACAATGTTGCTGGAGGCCACTTGGAAGATTCAGCACTGAAGGGTATTCTTGAATGACCGAGGGGCCTTGAAGACTGCCAGAAGCTCTAGATAGTTGATGTGTCTGGCAGCCTCGTGGTTCTCCCAAGTGCCCTGAGTGCGAAGACCAGCACACAGAGCTCCCCAACCCATGAGGGAGGCATCGGTGAATAGAGTCAATGCTGGATGAGGTGGATAGAACAGGATTCCAACAGATAAATTGCTTTGCACAGTCCACCATGACAGAGTCCGAAGAACGGAGGCTGGGAGATGAAGAGGTCGGTGTGGTGAGTCTCGTTGTAGGTGGAAGAGGCCATTGAACCAGAGTTGGAGGGGCCTCATCCGTAGTCTGGCATATGGAATCACAGAGACCATGGAAGCCATGTGTCCAAGGAGCTTCTGCATAGACAGTGCTCGAAAAGCAGGTTGCTTACCTGTAACTGATGTTCTTCGAGTGGCCATCTGTGCATTCACACATATGGGTGCTGCGCCTGCGCAGTGCCTAAGGCCAGAAAGATTAGAAAGCTAACGGTTTTT